CAGTTTTCTTTTGTTACTGTTAACATGGAACTTTTTTTTCCTTCATTCTCTAATTTTATGTCTTTATATTCATAGTAAATATACACTGCATCCAGTTGATTCTTGCTTTTTAATCAATTTGGTTCTCTCAAGACTTGAGTGTATAGGCCATTTATATCTAACGTGGTTATTGATATACCTGTGTTTAAATCTATTCTCTTCCTGTTATTTTTCTGCTTGTCACATCTGTTCTTTGTTCTCCCTTTCCTTTTTTGATTTTTCTTGGATTATTTTTTTATGATTCCATTTTATCTTCTCTTTAGTTTATGCCTGTGTTTAAATTTTAGAGGTTGGTTGAGGGTTTATATTGCACATCCTTAACATCCTGCTCTACCTTCAAGTAACATTATATCTCTTCATGTCCAGTTTGTGAGTCTCAGAACAGTCTACTTCCATTTCCCCTCTCAAGGTCTTGCTACGACACTGTCAGGTATTTTACATATACGTACATTGTAAACGTACGAACAGTATGTTGTTGGTTTTTTTTTTTGCTTTAAACAGTTATCTTTTAGAGACTTTTTTTAATCAAGAAAAAAGAGCATTTTATATTTACCATTTGCACTGCTCTTTGTTCTATTTCATAGGTCAAGATTTCTATCTAGCATCTTTTCCTCTGCCCAAAGCACTTCCTTTAACTTTTCTTGTATTGCTGATCTGATGCTGATGTAATCTTTCAGTTTTAATATGTCTTAGAAGTCTTCATTTCATCTTTTATTTTTTAAATGTGTTTTTTTTTTGTTTTTGAGAGTTTCTTGCTATAGGGCGTGTGCGCTTGCCAGGAAGACAGAGAGAGACAGAGAGACAGAAAGCGAGAAATCACTCTCCATGAAGGATGGCCACGCTGCAATCCCTTCTCCTCCATTCTCCTCTCGGGATCTTGGGCACGCACACACATGCGCCCGGCATGAGTTTAAGCCACCGGGTCCAGGACTTGAACCACAGTCGACTACATGGGAGTCCAGTGACATAGCCATTATGCTAACTGCTGGTCCCTCAAATGTATTTTTGAAGAGTTATGGGACTCTAGGTTGATGACGTTATTCTTTCACATCCTTAAAAACATGTTGCTCCTCAGTCTCTGGATCACCTTGTTTCTAACAGTGTCTTGTCAATCTCATCTTTGTTCCTCTGTACATAATTTGTCTTTCCCCTCCCGCAGTTTTTCAGATTTTCTCCTCATTGTTAATTTTAAGCACTGTAATTATGATGGACTTTAGTGTAGTTCAGTTGTGTTTCTTGTGCTTGGAGTTTATTGGATCTCTGGATTTATGTTTTTATTAAAATCTAAAACATGTTAGTCATTATTTTCTCACATTTTTTTCTGTTCACTCTCCTTTTCTTCTTCTCTGGAATCCTAACTACTCGTATATTTATTTGGCCATTTGAAATTGTCCCTACAGCTCACTGATAATCTGGGTTTTTTCCCCAGTCTTTTCTTTGTTTAATTTTGTGTAGTTTTATCACTATCTTCAAGTTCACTAATCCTTTTGTGTGTAATGTCTAATATGTTCTAAATCTCACATAGTGTATTTTCCTTTTTAGACGTTGTAGTTTTTAATCGCTGCAGGCTTGTTTGAGGTGTTTTTTTTTTTTTTTTTTCTTTTAAGAGAGGTTTTTGCAATAGGGCTTGTGTGCTTGCCAGAGAGACAGAAAGCAAGAAATCAACTCCCCCCCAAGGGGGGATGGCCTTGCCGCAACCTCTTCTCCTCCACTTTCCTCTTGGGATTTTGGACATGCATGCACATGCGCCCAATCTTGAGTTTCAAGCCTCATGGTCAACCATGTGGGAGTCCAGCAACATAACCACTATGCTATCTGCTGGTCCCCATTTGAGGTGATTTTTATATTTTCCTTGTCTCTTAACATATCATGCTATCTTTTTGACCATATGAAATATATTTTATTGTACTTGTCTATAAATTCTATCTTCTAGATCATTGCTAGATTTGCTGCTGTTCATTGATTTTTATCCTCATTATGAATTATACTTTCTTACACTTTGCCATGCTTGGCGATTTCTTGTTGGAAAGCAGACATTTTAGGTTTGGATTGTGAGATGCTAGATTTTTACATTTTTTAAAATATTTTTGACTACTGGGATAAAGTTAAATTTGAAACAGTCTGATCCTTTATAAACTGACACTTAAGCTCTGTTAGGGAGATCAGAGAAGCCTTTAGTCTAGGACTGATTTGTCATTAGGACAAGGTGGTATCTTTCTGATATTCAGCCTGATGCTCCATCTATTAGGCAGTTTCTTTAACTGTCTCAAAAATTGCTCTGCCTGTTTCCTTATGCTGGTTCTCTTCCCAGCCTTGGGCAGTTTCTTCACAAGCTTTCTGCTTAGTACTGACGTGACTCAAGAGAATGTCTTAGTGTCTCTTTATGCACTGTTCTCTCCTCAGTGTTTGCTCATGAAGTCTTGCCTCCTTGGCCTCCTCAGATGTTTACCTGTGTTGCCTCAACTCAGGGAGATTGCCAGACTCTTGTTTGGATTCCTCCTTCCTGTGCTACAGCCTGGAATTTTCTCTAGGCTAAAGCAATTGAACTAGAGTAACTGTGTAGGATTCACCTTACTATTTCGCTTTTCTGAAGAATCAGGTTCCATGCTGCCTGTTGTCCAATGTCTGAAAACCATTTCTTCATATTTTTAGTTGAAGTTGGGAGGTCTTACTCAGTCTGTACTACTCCATCATTACTGGAAGCAGGAGATGGAGTTCTGTGTTGTTGCACTGTTGGTAAACTCTCTTATTCACATAGTAAATAATAAGGACAATGCTTTTCTCACAGGGACTAAATCAGATAATATACATGAGAAGCATGTCTAGACGGGGAAGTGTAAAGGGCTATGCAGATGCTTGTGACCGCCTGTTTTCCTGCATTATGGATGTTCCACTGAAGAGTAAGACTTAAAGGGCTAAAAGATGAGGTGCTGTTTCTGTAGACCTGTTTCTCCATTCATGTCAGCATGTCTTAGTGCGTACATTCCTGTGTTTACCCATTCATTCATTCATTCATTCACGTACTCAACAGACATTCATCAAATCCGTGAACGTCAAACACTGTGCTAGGCACCGAAGAGCTCTGCCCTCAGGGAGCTCACATGCGAGTGCCGTGTTTTCTTCCCTGTGTTGTGCCTCCACTGTCCGTTGTTTCCATCTGCTTCCTTCTGGACATGTGACTCTTGCTCTGGCCCCTGGCATGGTGCCATTTCATTCCACCTTCACTTCCTCTGCTTGCTTTCTCTGTCTTTCCCTCACTAGCTTCATTTTGTTTGGTTTGGTCCAGTTGCCACAATCTCTTTTTTCCACTACTAGTAACTTTTTTTCTTCCTAAGTAAAAGCAAAGTCCTTACAAAAGCTTACAAGGCTTTAAAAGATCTGAGCCCCACTTATCTCCATGGACTCTCGCGCATTTCCCCGAGCCACACCGACCTCCTACTGCTGTCATCTTTGAAAACACCAATGTGGTCCTGCCTTGGGGTCTTTGCACCTGCTCTTTCTCTGCCGTGCTCTTCACTCTTATCCATGTCTCCTTTCACTTCCTTCAAGTCATTGCTCCTGTCATCTCTGCACTGAGGTCTTTCTGTCCCCCATTTTTACCCTTCTGTTTCTTGATCACTTATCTTCTAAATTTTGTTGTATAGCCTTTCTTTCTTTGCTGTTGCGTCTTGTCGTGCTAACATATAATGAGATCCCTTTACTGCTGACACCTTATTAGCACACCACCTGGCACTAATAAGGTTCTGTATAAATATTTGTTGAATAAATGAGTCGTCTAGGTAAAGTGCTTTGTTTGTTGTATTATGTTTACTGAATACACTTTTTTGTCTCCTGTGCTTTGGCTGGCGCATTGTATGTAGTTTCTTAGACATCTATTCCATTGTTTCTTTTTCGGCTTATGAGCGTGTTTTGTTCTATAGAGCCTTTGCAAGATTAAAGGTTACCCATACTTGATTACATGTTTTCTCTCAGGCGCGAGCACATGTGGAATTAGATGGCAGTTTTCGTGGTAATAAATAACTTCGACTTTATATGTTGGCCAGGAGCTAGAATTCTAACTAAACTTTAATCCCATCCACAAGCTCAAGTATGATCCAATACAAAAACAAACAAAATATCCTTCCAAGTATAATCTTTCTCATAATATATTTTTTCAAACGTTACCACTGAAATTAGCAGATGGCGTAATGATTACATTGCTGGACTCCCACATGGCTGACTATGGTTTGAGTCCCGGACCTAAAGGCTTGAAACAGACTCCAGGCATGTGTGCGTGTGTGCCCAAAATCCTGAGAGGAGAATGGAGGAGAAGTGATTGTGGGGTGCCCATCCACCCGGGGGGTGATTTCTCACTTTCTGTCTCTGTCTTTCTCTTAAGCACATGTGCCTTATAGCAAAAATCTCTCTAAAGAAAAATAAAAATGTTAGCACTATATTTGGAATTTAAAATTTCATGTGATTCACACACAAAATATTTGCAAATGACCAGATCTATCTTCCTTATTAAGAAATTGTATAGATACACATACCACCACTTCCTTAATCCCAGCCTGGAAGCCTAATCGACTCTGAAAACCAAAAGATTCTTCTGAGTTTGCCACAGACTCATTTGGTAGCAAAGCCAAACCAGACATGGCCTGTAGCTGTTGTAGTCATTACTTTTCCAACAGCCTCACTGCCGAACTGTTAACGTGTTCGATTCCGTGAGCACCCAGGCCTGCTGAGGGTGTCACACAATGAGTAATGCATGCCGTAGATTGCCTTTCTAAAATTAAAAAAAAAGCAAATAACAAAAATTTGCCTGAATCCTGAAATGTTCCTCATCCCAGCAGAGTCGGATAAGACATTGGAGGCCTGTGTGTACATCTTTTTAATCCACTTTACCCAAGTGAAACCAGACTTGCTGGTCACTGACTGTCTCACTTCTGTTTGTTGTTGCTGCCGGAACGGTTTCTCCCCAGCTTTGCAAACCTGGGTATACTTCATGTGACAAAGAAAAAAGTGTTCGAAACCTTGGAGGCACGGATGACGGAGGCCTGCATGCGGGGCTATAACCCCGGACTTCTGGTGCACCCTGACCTCGCCTATTTGCAAGCGGAAGGCGGAGGAGACCGGCAACTCACAGGTGGGTGTCCTCCCAGCCCTCCGTGCTCACCTGCATGCCCGTCTCCTCCCCAGTCTGCACTCCTGGGCTGCTCCCCCCGCTCAGAAGCCTTTGCTGGCATCCTGCTGCCTCTAGAATAAATCTGCCCCCCAGCCTGGCCTCTAGAACTTCCCAGATCGGCCCACCCCAGCCCTGCTCTCTGCACGCCTGAAGCCCATTCCCACCTTGCCGTGTGTCCCTCTCCCTAAAACGCCTGCCCCTTTCAGCCACCCAAACCAGTAACTGCAGACTTCCACCACGAGCGCTGCTGTTGTGCCTCCGACTCTCCTGTCGCAGCCTCTCTCTCCAGGCATGTTCCAAATCCTAAAAGTCATCGTGAAATGCTGTGATTTTCTGTTTTCCTGCTTTTATGCCAGTTCTTCTTTCAACCTCATTTTTCGCCTCACCTCACGTCACACTTCTTTGACATTTTGTCCATCAGTGGTCAGTCGGGCTGTCCTGTCATCACCCCATACTCAGGCCCCCGGGCCCCCCAAAGCCAGCGAGCACTTTCTACTAAACCCATTCCATCTCCGATGCCCAGCCTCAAGGCTACCCCTGGTCTCCAACGCCCCCTCCTCGCCTGCACTGGGGCTCCCGTCTGAGATCCAGCCGTTCCGGGCTCTCCCCGGCATCCCACCCCTCACTCCGTTTCATTGCTCCAGCCCTGGCAGACCTCTCCCTGGTCTCTGTCCTGCCCTCCTTCAGTGGCCTACCCCTGTGGCCAGAGAGCTCTCGCCGAAGCCTGCAGCTCCTCCCTGCTCGGTCGCTGGTGCCTGCAGACCCACGTTCTGTAATCTGCCGTTCAGTCGTTCCGAGAGCTGGCCCAGCCTGTGCGTTCAGCCCTTTCCCTGTGCGCCTTCCTGCCGACCCGAGCCATCTACAGAAGCCCCCTTTCCTCTCCCTCACTCCCCTGCTGGGCACATCTCCAGCTACTGCCCTCCCCTCTTCCTGGACCTCCCTTGTCCGCTCTCTCTACGTGTTCAAATCCTATCATTCTCACAAGATCCAGACAAAATGTCTCTCCTCTCCAAAGCCTCTGGACTCTCCCCTCTCCAAAGTCCCTTATCACTTCTGTAGCTCTCTCATGGAACCTGTCACTTGGACAGTTGCCTTTTATGGTATTATCAGTTGAGCATGACCATATCCACCAGCCAGAAAACTTCTCCGGGAGGGGAGGAGCCATGCATCATGGAGTCCTGTCCTTCAGAACCACCTTCCGCGTGCTGGCTTCGTCCCAGGCCGGTGTGGGCACTGTGGAGTGACGTGGTGCTCTAAGAGCTTTAGGGATCCTTTCCCCACTTCTCTGTATGCAATTGGCACATCGTAGACTCTGACGGTCCATTCTAGAACACCTGCTGCGCCTTAACTCTTACTGCAGCGAGGAAAGGGAGGGGGGCTGGGGACAGGAGGGAGAGGCTTCTGAGGCACGGAGGACCGCTTCGTCCGTACTCCAGGGAAAACGCAGGTCCTCGTAGAGGCCTTTAATTTTGGATGATATAGAAAAGACTATTATTTTTTAAAACTTCTTAACACTTTGAAGAAGTTCAAAAGAGAAAAATGGGTTTTTATCTGAAGTTTACATTCCTTGGCTGGGCTTTCTGAAAGCATGCTATTAAATGTCCCTGCTTTCCGCTCTCCCCGGGCACGAATGCACTGCGCTGATGGTCCCAGATCGAGAAAAGGAACTCATCCGCCAGGCAGCCCTGCAGCAGACCAAGGAGATGGACCTCAGTGTGGTGCGGCTCATGTTCACAGCTTTCCTTCCCGACAGCACCGGCAGCTTCACCAGGCGCCTGGAACCCGTGGTCTCCGACGCCATCTACGACAGCAGTGAGTACTGGCCTAGCGGCCAGGCCGGGGTGAGGTCGAGACCCCCTGGGCCCAGCCTGCCACCCTGAGTCCTAGGGCAAGTGACAGTCCCACTGAGGCAGGTCTATCAGCTCTGATGCAAAGTGAGAACACTAAACCTAGATTGAAGGTTGATAATGGGATTGTATGAGGGCTTTGTTGTTTAGTTTTTGCTACAGGGTGTGTTCACCCACCAGAGAGAGACAGACACAGAGAGAGAAAGTGAGAAATCACCCCCCAGGGGAGATGGCCCCAGCACAATCCTTCTCTTCCATTCTCCTCTGGATTTGGGGCATGCATGCACATGTATCTAGTGTGTTTTTCAAGGCACTAGTTGTGGGACTCGAACCTCTCAATCAGCCATGTGGGATCCACACCTTAACCTCCATGCCACCTGCTGTGCTCCTTAAATGGGACATGTCATTTTAAATGACAGCGCACAGTGACCGTCCTGTCTCACCTGTGCATTGTGGTCTCTTACATGCAGTGCCACACTCCTACTGTTGATGAATACATTGCTGTAAGGCGCTATCGTTAGTGCCCATAAAAAGGAAAAATCTTAGTTTTATTCTCTGGGTCCCGCCCTTCTTAAGAAGTTAATGTAAGTGTTACTCTCTTCCATCTCCACTCCCACATCCTCCTAGCTTTACCATGCAGAAACTTGAAGTTAACAGAGTAAGTAGCGTAGTGTGTGATTTCAGTGTCCTTTTCTTATTCTGTAGTTCCTAGACATTTTAAAGAGTTATTCCATGATCCTCATCATTTGCCATGCAGCTTTTTTGTTCAGAATGCATAGAATTTATTAAACGGATAGTTTCAAAAAGCCTGCCAGTGCAATGTTCTTAGGTTCATTGGAAATTTATAGAATTTGGTCTAAGTAGAAAATTGCAACTAATGGGTTTTTCTGATCTAAAGACGTTTGAAGGGAAGTGAAAGGGCTATAAAATTATATAGACTGCCATATCACTGATCACCTTTAAATGCAGCTGTCGGAACAAAAAACAGGAAGCTTGATACTATTGCCACATGAAACTTAGGCTCCCAGCAACGAAGAATCCTAATTTAGTTTGGAGAAAAGAAATATAACCTCTCCATTTTACTTCTCTGTAGCATGGGAGTCAGTAAGTGGTTTAAGAAAACTGCATTTTGGGGCCAGCAGGTGGCACGGTGGTTAAAGTGCTGGCCAATCACAGTCTGTGTGCTGGACCTGGTGGCTTGCTTTCTCACTTTCCCTCTCTGTGTGTGTCTCTCTCTGGTCAAATTAAAATAAAATGAATAAATAAAATTAATTCTTTAAGAAAATAAAGAAAGAAAGTGTGCTTTTCCTTAAGCTTTAGGACTCTTGGTCATGGCATAGCGATGTCATGAAAATTAGCGAGGTTAAAGTCTCGACCTAATTGAAATCAGACCCATCAGTGTGGTACTTCCTGACACAGCAGAGAAAAAGCTCCTTTTCTGTGTCAGTCCCGGTCTGTGCTGGAGGAAGAAATAGGTGCCTGTTGCTTTTTATCTCATCTCTTTTGCTGATATTGAGTGCCCCGAGGGCATGGGAAGCCATTTTTGTTTGATTTGTATCTTTGTTAAAACAAAACAAGCTGAATTGTCTGTTGGTTTAGTTCTGTGTGCCCAGGCAGGTCCTCCCACACACACAGGTCTGGCGTGTGAAGCCAAGGATAAACCGTGCTCTTTGTTGCTGTCCCCTGAACAGAAGCCCCCAATGCCTCCAACCTGAAAATCGTAAGGATGGACAGGACAGCTGGGTGCGTGACCGGAGGAGAGGAAATTTATCTTCTATGCGACAAAGTCCAGAAAGGTAAGTACACAACCTGACCTCAAGATGTGAGACGGAGTGTCTCTGAGCGCCGCTTTCTGGCAGTGCGTGAGAAATCACCCTCTTCTGCCACAGACCTCCCTAAAAACATCGCCACGTTTTACCTCTTCCAGATGTGAGTTATCTGTTCCTTTTTTTTTTTAATTCACTAATTCATTTTTAAATTTCCCACAAAACTAAAGAGAAATAATAAAATTACGACCATTATAATCAGTGACTTTCAGTATTTTTATACTTGAAAGTTTGGCATCTGAACTTGGTTAAACTAAAATAAATGAACAACGCCCCATGCTCAACATGCATGCGCACATGCATGCATGCACACACATGCACATACATGCACCCAGAGTACCTAATGAGGTTCACAGAGTAAAACTGTGGACTCTTTACTTTGCCACGCTCCGTGTCACACTTCAAGCACTTCTGCAAACATTCCACATCATGTGGTGACGTCAGCTAAGAAAACGAAAGAGAACGAGGAATATAGGGAAACTTTCAGAACACGCTTCTCTCAGGTTTCATTTTGAGGAAAGGTTCTTGGCACGTATCATTCATATTACGTGACTGATAAATTAGTAAAAGCTGGAGGAAACGTTAATGTTTTCCCACTTCGCTGTTTTTTAAACAGAACAGTACATGGAAAGTTGTCTAATAAAGATCCACTTACTGCAAGCTGCGAACGTTTGTTTAAGTGAGATAAATGCATAACTAAGGCTTTTTAAAAATCTCATTAGAGGCCAAATACTCCGAGGTATAAAGTCAGATCAAAATGGAATCTGATTTTAAAGGAAGGATACATATGCTTTAATAATTTATTTAATTTTGTTTATTAATTCACTTATTTTAATTTGACAGAGAGAGAGAAAGAGTGAGAAAGCAAGCCACCAGGTCCAGGACTTGAACTGTGGTCAGCCATGTGGGAGTGTCCAGCATCTTAACCACCTCGCCACCTGCTGGACCCCAGGTTACATATTCTTTATCCAAAAGAAGAATACACTTCTGGGACCAGCAGGTAGCACAGTGGTTATGTCGCTGGACTCCCACGAAGTCAACCACAGTTTGGGTCCTAGACTTGATGTCCTAAAACTCACCACAGGCACAGGTGCGTATGTGCCCAAAATCCTGAGAGGAGAACAGAGGAGAAAGGATTGTGGTGTGGCCATCTCCCTGGGAGGTGATTTCTCGCTTTCTATCTCTCGGGTGAGCTCACACTCCTATAGCAAAAAAATCTCTCTTAAAAAAAAAATACACTTCCTCTGCTTACACTGGTCTCAGCCTTCTTCCAGCCCACTCTGTCCAAGTAACACTCCTTTCCAGCGTTCCATGCGTGAGTCAACATGACTGGAGTGCCTTGTTTGGGAATGCAGTCCCTAATCATTATCACGCCGGAATGGCATAGTCAGGGAAGTCTTGTACTTGGTTCACCGAACCTGAATAACTAGGTGTGGGGTACTTTTACCTAAAGGCAGAGTAATGGGCCAGGAGATAATGAGATGTTTTATCTAACCTAGTATTTTAAAATTTTATCTAAATAGAAATATAAATTTAGTTTCATAAATCAATAGTGTGTCTTTTTGATGAAGTGGGAAGGGAAGCCAGAAAGATGCCAGTCCAAGTTCTATTGTCGTATTTCTGCAGTAGAATCCATGTCCAGAGTGTCACATTTAGATGTTCTCATTTAATAGTGAGAGACAAGACGATCAGAGTATTTGGGGCGCTTTCTCAGTATAAACGAATAAAGTCTTGTGGGAGGGAGAATAGAGTGTTTAAGGACCTGACACTACACTCTGTTCAAATCCTGGCTCCTCCAGTTACTAGCTGTTCAGCCTTGGGTAAATTACTTAACCCTGGACATCAGTTTCTCTCCCACAAAATGAGGATGATATAGTGAGTGAGAGTGCTTGGACGTAAAGGGTCCCATTTTAGTAACTACGTCATGGGGTTGTTGGGAGGATTAAGTCGAGTCCTGTGTACGTTTAAAGCATTGGCCACATGGTAAACCTTGTAAGTTAAACAGGATTATGAAGCTCTACACTGCATGTGGATTGAACTCCCTTTGGGGTTCTGGTATTCCTCTACCGTCCTTCTTGTTTCTCGGGAGTAGACTGGTTTAAAAAATGGAGAAGTGGGAAGATCAAAGATTGATGAGGTCATAGGTAAATCTAATATTTTTGTCATTATAAATGAAACTTGAACCCCATCCCTGTGCTAAGTAATAATTTTTAAATCGGTGACTTATGAAAACCTTAAATGACTCAAAAATTCATTTCGTATTATTTTCAAAAAAAAAAGTGTAAGTATATATTGGGCTATTGGAAAAGTCATGACACATTTTTACATAGAAAAACACAGAAAGATATGTCATGACTTTTTCGACGACCCAATAGTAGGCAAGCTCATTTTTTCCCTGCACGTTGGCAAATCCCACACTGTATAAAATTAGACACTGAATGTGACCGTTTGCAGATGACATCCAGATTCGGTTTTATGAAGAGGAGGAAAACGGTGGCATCTGGGAAGGGTTTGGAGACTTTTCCCCCACAGACGTTCATAGACAGGTAAGGGCAGTATGACTGTTGTTGTTGTTATTATTATTATTATTATTATTATTATTATTATGCATCTGCTGCCTTGTTGAGAGTCAGTGTTTAGTGTCCATATACAAAAAAGGGAAAAATCATAAGTAAGTATTTAACTTTCATAAAACAGGATGATTTACCATAAGGCAGGCACCACACCTGGCGAAACACGCTACTTTACAACTCCGGCAGCTCATCCAGAGACGTTACCCTCCATAGAATGGTGGGCACCATCCTGTAGTCAGACCACTGGCTCTGAGACTGGGGCAGCCTTACATTCGGTGATGCCCTGCCTGGAAGGCAGTAGCCCTCAGGTCCCTTGGTGACTGTATATTAAGTGTGCTGCCAAAGTAATTACGATAAGACCTGTTAAAAGAATGTTCTAATGAAGGGACCAGCAGCTGGAATAATGATTACGTTACTGGACTCCCACATAGTCGACCATGGTTCAAGTCCTGGACCCGGCAGCTTAAAACTCATGCTGGGCATGTGTGTATGCACAAGATCCTGAGAGGAGAATGGAGGAGAAGGGATTGCAGCATGGCCATCCCCCCTGGAGGGTGATTTCTTCCTTTCTGTCTCTCTGTCTCTCTCTGTCGCTCTGGCAAGCACACATTCCTTGTAGCAAAAATCTCTAAAAAAAAAAAAATGTTCTAATGAAAAATGTCAGAAGGAGGAGTCTTCTGGTTGAGGCTGAGGTGGTCAAGGTCCCAGTGGTAACTGATTTCATGACTCAGGTGAAAATGCTGAACTTGCGCCATAATGACTACTCTCATCTTTATGATTAATCAAGGAATACTGTCTCCACAAAAATATGAATAAATAAAATTATAAACAATCTAAGTTGGAAGATACAGAACAAGGATGTGTAAAAATGATTCTGGGTCAGCAGGTAGCTTGGAGGTTAAGGCACTGGATCCCATATGGCCAACTCCACGGATTGAGTCCTGGACCTGGTAGCTTTAAAATCATACTAGGTGCAAGTATATGTGTGTGTCCCCAAAATCCCAAGAAGAAAATGGAGGAAAAAGGATTGCAGTATGACCATCCCCCCTCCTTCTCTGGGGATGATTTCTCACTTTCCCTTTCTCTGTGTCTGTCTGTCCCTGGTGAGTGCACACACCCTACAGCAAAAACTAAAAAGATTCTATATGCATATCGGCACATGCATAAAGCAGCCCTGGAAAGTAAGTGAGAAACTAACGGCGTTCACTTCTCGGGCTGGCACATCGTAGGAGCCGCGTGAAGGGGGACAGGGATAATGGAGAACTTAAATATTGCGTACTGTTGTTTATGCCCTTTTATACTTTATAAACCGTGATCCCCATGAATGTCTTACACAGCCAGAAAGACCAAACTAAACAATGTTAAGATGGGGACCAGCAGATGGAGTAATGGTTACATCGCTGGACTCTCACGTACTGACCATGGTGCAAGTTACAGACCCAGCAGCTTAAAACACACTGCGCATGCATGCATGAGTGCCCAAAATTCCGAGAGGAGGATAGAGGAAAAAGGATTGTGCTGTGGCCATTCCCCCAGTGGGTGATTTCTCGCTTTCTCTCTGTCTCTGTCTCTCCAGCAAGTACACATACCTTATAGCAAATATCTCCCTTAAAAAAAAAAAAAAATACATGTTAAGTTGCCTAACTGCTCTGTCCCCACCAGGAATTCCTGTGTCGCCATGCCTCCCTGCTCAGGTTTCAGTTTCTCTCCTTACTGGCTGGCCCGGGTAACAGTAGCACCACTTCCTTCATCTCTCCTTTCACACCTAATTTCTTTGGTGTCAGTGGAAGTAATGTTGGGAGCTTTTTTGTTTGTTTGTTTGTTTGTTTGAAGTTTTTCCAGGGGCCAATACACCCAGTGTGTTTGTCTAACAGCTGGGTCCAAGACTCGAACCACGTAGTCAGCCATGTGGGATCTGACTGACCCAACCACCAGGCCATGGCCTGCCCCAATCTTGGAGGGCTTTAAGGTTGATTTGAAAGAGAAGAAAGAAGTGTATGCAATGAATTTTATATGCTTGATCTTTACAACTAGAAGACATTTAACTATTAGGCAGTTAAATAAGATTTGGGCTACTGGATTTTTGGGAAAGTCATGACATTTTTTTCTGTTCTTTTATGCAAAAATGCATCATCACTTTTCTGACAACCCAATACATTGGTGTAGCGTTGCCTTTCCACTTTGGCGCACTCTAACAAAATTAAATTCGGAGTTTGGAACTCTCTGTAGGGTGCTACGCTGTATCGAAACACTGAGTAGAAGGAAAAGCTTAATGTGTTTAGTTAGTAGCACTGCTGCGCGAAAATAAAAATGGAGTCCTCCAGCAACATCTGGATCTTTGTACCCTGCAGTTCGCCATCGTCTTCAAAACTCCCAAGTACAAAGATGTCAACATCACCAAGCCAGCCTCCGTGTTCGTCCAGCTGCGGAGGAAATCTGATTTGGAAACAAGTGAACCGAAACCTTTCCTCTACTACCCTGAAATCAAAGGTAACCGGGTTGTTTAGACCTTTGTGCTTGTTCTGATAAGAGGACAAGCTGATTTTAAAAGATCAGGTTGTCACATCCTTTGAACAGCGTCCTAGTAGCTGGTCCCTGGGGCCATAATACTTTTACAGAAGAGGCTGGTCATATGCTATTTGAAGTCGTGGGCTGAGTTCACCAAGCTTCTGTGAGATTTAGACATTCGAGAATTTCTCTCACCTCGACAGTCTAGTGTATATTGAGTAACTCACGGTGCAACCAGTTGAGATGAAAAAGTAAGACTTGCTGTCCAGGAGGATCAGCCACCATCTACTGGCTCAGGCAGCTGAGCAGAAAACGGGGCTAACGTGCAGCACCGAGCTAGAAAATTCTAGAAAATTCAGCAGCACTGTTCTTTCACCCACAAGGAGCACTTCAGGAAACGGAGCGAATCGTCTCCCTAACTAGTTACAATGTAAGCTGTTGTTCTAGTGACCACCGAGTGAAGCCCTCCCAGACACACATAAGCATGTTGGAAGCCCTTGATTTCTTGATTCTAAAAAAGCAACCACTAAGGCTTCTGGGAGGGACCGTTTGATCCTTAGAATTTGAGGTGCATGTCAGCAGTTAGGTCTTACACAGAGAAGGAAAGGTTTCTGAGGCTCAGGACACTGCAGGAGCTCAGGACAGAGGTGAGCACAGTGTCTGTCCAGAGAGAAGTTAGCTTCAGGGCCTAATGGAGCAGGTGCAGGCAGCCGGCAGAGCCAGGGCCGGGCTGGGGAGCACTGTGGTGCAGCTACGGTTTTGCCGTCACCTGGAGCGGGAAGGCAGGCCAGGCCCGCCTGCACTGGAACGATGGCTCTAACTGCTTGCTTTCTTTTTTCAGTTTCACTGTAGGGAGTATGTGTGTGCCAGGAAGAGGGGGAGAGAGACAGTGAGAAAGCTCCCCTTAAGGGGATGACCATACTGCAGTGCCTTCTCCTCCATTCTCCTTCTCCTCCACCGACTTGGTCCTGCAGACATGGAGGGTCGGTCTGCGAGGCAGACAGCAAGGCGGAGTAATGCCAGAATCCAAGGGAGAAATGGCGAGGTCCAGCAAGGTGTCAGTGCGGAGAAAGAAAGGAGGATTGAAGGGGCAGTGCTGCAGTACCGTCAGGGCCCCGAGGCTGGCCGACATGGGTAGGTCAGAGTCAGGGTCACAGAGGGTGGAGGAGTCCCAGACCCGGGCGCCTGTGACAGGTCGACCCGATGAAGCAGCACAGCGGCGGTAGATCCAGGCAGACAAAGGAAGCTCACTTGAAAGCCAGTTGCATCTTGAGTTCCTGCAGGAAATTCAAGTGGGTTCCCAGCGGCCATTGACAGGCAGGCCTGGGACTCACGAGGGCAGAGTGGGAACTCGGCACTGAGAGGTATCCTGAGTGAGGTGAATAGCAGGTGGAATAATTAAAAACAAACTAACAAACAAAAATAGCAGGCACCTGAACTGGGTGGTTCTTCAGAGGGATTTCTGTTCTTTTTTCCCCCATTTTGCCAGAGGGTGCATACACTTGCCAGAGAGAGAGAGAGACAGGGAGAAAGCATACCGGCCCACGCCACGGGAGAGGGCCACGCTGCCATCCTTTCCCACCTCCCTCCTGTCAGGATCTTGGACACATGCGCTCCCTGGAGTGTTTCACAAGCCAGGGTCGGGGACTCAAACCACAGTCAGCCATGTGGGGTCCACCCACTGGCCCACGGGCTGGCCCCAAAGGCTTTTCTTAACTAGAGTCCACTGACCCCAAGGAGTCTGTGGATAGAATGTATTTTGATATCATCAACTTCTCTTGCAATCCTGTTTTATATTTTACATTTTGAAAACCACGATTCTGAGACGAATTCACAGTTTTCGCCTAGCTACATGGAGAGCCACGGCACAAGCAGAGTTAGAAATGCCGCGAGAGGAGGGAAGGAGGAGAGGGGAGTCAGGACGGCGCCTGCCACAGCCACCTGGTCTGGCTAGGCTGGGAGGCACAGGCCGGAGCCGCAGAGTCGGGTCCTGTGATGGCATCTTCAGTGCATGAGCTTTGTAGAGGGCTTTCCCTTCCTGCAACGCAGGCTGCAGTGAGTTTTCTTTTTTTTTCTTTTTTTCTTTTTTTTTTTTGAGAGAGATTTTTGCTATAGGACATAGGCACTTGCTGAAGAGACAGACAGAAAGCGAGAAATCATCTCCAGAGGGATGGCCACTCCGCGGTCCCTTCTTTTCTTTTTTATTCCCCTCTCGGGATTTTGGGCATGCACACACATTATGCGTGAGTTTTAAGTCACCCTAATCTGGACTCGAACAGTGGCCAACTACGAGGGAGTCCAGCAACGTAACCATTCTGCCTTCTGGTGTCCCGAGAGCATTTTGGAAATGACGCTGGGGGGTCTTTTTCTTTCCCGTGGCTATGACCTCTCCATTTCTGGGTCAGATTTGTAGTGCATTCCATGCACTGGTAGCTTGAACACATGGTCCACACAGAATCTTTTTATCTTCTCTACAGAAAATTCTGCGGAAAAATCCCGGGGTGGAAGCAGGTGGTCGGGTTGGAGGGGGGTGGGGTGGGCATTGATCTCGCCCTCCCCACCTTTCCCAGCAGCTCCGCAGCCTCTTCTCTTCGCCCCTCTCCCCCCAGCCCCCCAGGCAGGCCACAGGCTCCAGGGAACCCAGTGTGAAAGCCCCCATGTTCGGCTCCATGGAGATTCAGACCAGAGGTTTTGGTTTACTTATTTTTTTCTTTTCTTTTTTAATTTCCAGAGGGTACACGCACTCACTGCAGAACGAGAGGGAGAGAGGAGGGGACAAAGCACACAATCCCTTCACTCGCATCCTCCGTCCCGTCGGGGTCTGGGGCACACGCACGCCCAGCGTGCTTTGCAAGCTGTGAGGGCAGGGTTTCAGTCACAGCCAGCCACGTTGGTCAGCTCCCTCAACTGCGAGGCTGTGGGGCTGGCCCTCAGAGAGGCTCTCACCGGGTTTTCTGTATCAGTTTCTTGTCATTGAAATATCACTGGCTATAATATAGTTAACATTTTGAAAATCGGTCCTTTTTTTTCCCCCTGGGTTTTTGCCATAGGGCACATGTGCTTGCTGGAGAGAGAGAGAAAGAGACAGTGAGAGGGAAAGTAAGAAATCACCCCTCAAGGGGATGGTCATGCCCCCATCCTCCATTCTCCTTGTGGGATTTTGGGTGCACCCAACATGATTTTCAAGCCGCCAGGTCCGGGACTCAAACTGTAGTCAGCCATGTGGGAATCTGGCGCCTTAACCACCACACCACCCGCTGGCCCTGAAAATCTGCTCTTAAAAATGCCACTTTGTAGTGACATAGAACTAGTGAACACCTCAACTTTAAAAGGCACGCGTAGAACATGAGGACTGGTCTCTTTGCTAGAAGCCATGTCAGCAGGTGACACGAGGTGATGTGACTCCTGAAGATGTCTGCTTCCCTCCTGTGCTTCGTTGCTGTAGTATTCTATTTGAGATCAACAGTTTATAGGATGACCAATGAGTGCAGCTACTAGTTATAACTAATGGGAAAATTTTACAAATCTGTCCAAAAATCTTTAATATGGAAATTGTTCAAGTCTCTCCATTTCCAGGTCCCCCCTTTCTAGTAGAAGCTCATTTTTCTCAAAATTTGCGTTTTTCATCCTGCGTCCCTGCGTCGGTCGGACGGCATGCCTAGCTTTTAACCAAGTCTGTAAGTGTAACTTGTTACCTACTTCCCCTGCCGTCCATCTAGCTGCAGCTAAATGATCGTGAGATAATCAGTAAACAGCAGCCTTCGCTCTGGCCCTGGCATGGCTACAACAACCACAGAACTAGAAGTAAGAAAAGCGCTTTCTGCACATAGGCAGGGGCAGGCGTGGACCCAGAAGAGTCAGATGGTTAAGTTCAGACAGCTGATTGAAAGAATCCATTGACGGTGTATTCCACTTTAACAGAAAGCAAAACAACCTCCTTCACTCTTTAGCCTGAATGAGAATAGAGGAACACAGAAATGTAGGAAGATGACAGAAGAGAAAGGAAGGGAAACAGAAACCGTAGTAGATCGTAAAGCAGTGACGGAGCTCGGAGGGGGCTGGGGCTGGGGCAGCCAGGGTCGGGAATAGCCGGAGAGACACAGCCACGCCAGGGAAGGCCGGCATGAGACCCGGCTGCCAGGGCCTAAGCATACGCCGTCACGTGGAGGTCTCAGCTGTTTGGACTCCCACACACACTGTGCCATCAGTCACGGGGGCTACAGACCCCTCTTGGGTTTCATTGCTGGGGCCCACCTGTGTCTGTTGTCTCGGCGACCACGCGGACAGACCTCTGTCCCCTTGTGTCTGCACCACCCCTGCCTGCGCTTGGACTCTAGTGGGTTCTTCGCACAAGGACAGGTGAACCTTCCCCAGTCCCACTGTACACCCCATTCCCCTAATAGAAACCTCCAGGGGCTCCCTGCACGTTAGTTGGGCTCCCATCCGGTGTTGCAGGTGCGGTCGCGTCAGCTCTGTTTCTTGGAATTCCTTAAACTAAGCTGCGCTTTGGCTGATCTAAAGCTCTAAAGCTGAGCTCCTGGGCATGTCTTCATTCTGTTCCCTCCCGCCCCAGAATGTCCTCCTCTTCCCTTTTCCTTAAAATATATATGTGTGTGTGCGTATATATATTATTCTTAATTTTGACCAGAGAGGGAGAGACAGAGACAGAGAGATAGCGAAAACAAGCTGCCAGGTTCAGGACTCGAACCATGTGAAGTCCAGCCCCTTAACCCCGCCCCCTACCGGCCTCCCTCTCTTATAAAGTTGTCCTGGGAAGCCCTTCCTGATTCCCAGCTCTCAAGGACTGGCTAGAAGTCCTTCGGAACCTCGGGGAACCCTGGTCTGCTGTGCAGTGAACACACACACCCCGGTTTCGTATCCCTGTCCTTTCCTCACTGCCGCAGAGACCTTGGACAGCGTGGGCACGAAGGCACTGCGTCCCCCTGTCCCAGCGATCGAATCCCGAGTCCCGGATACGTAGTGTGTGTCCGCTGGTCTGTAATCCCTGCTGTTGTGACCTTCGCCTCTGAGGGGCGGTCCGGTCTCACGAAATTTGACAGCGTGGGGACTTCAAGGGCGGCAGCGGGGTTTGGGCGTGGGCCTAGCTGTGGTCTGAGGCTGGGCCTCGGTCTGCAGACCCGCGGGGGTAAATGTCCTGCTTCTTGAAATCGGGCCTTTCTTCCTCCTTGACTGCTTTCTGTTTCCCTTTACGATGTTTAAAAATACTCCCAGGGCGCTACAGTGTTCCTGTGGCTAGTGGCGGGCCCACGTCGATCTCCCTCCTCTGGTTTCTCTTCCTTGCACGCAGACAAAGAGGAAGTGCAGAGGAAGCGGCAGAAGCTCATGCCCAACTTCTCCGACAGTTTCGGCGGCGGCAGCACGGGCGGCGGCGGCGGGATGTTCGGGAGCGGCGGCGCGGGCGGTGCCGGCGGGGCGGGCCCAGGTACCGCACACCTAAGTTGCCCCTGGCTTTGCAGGTGGGAGAGGATGGAATCTTCTTTTCCTTTTTTTTTAATGATATATGGCACGTGCACGCACTGGAGAGAAAGAGGCACCCCGCAGTGGGGCCTGGTTACCCGCAAGCCTGGCCCTGCAAGCCCCTTCCCGCCAGGATTCTGGGCGTGCACTGCGCTCCTGGAGTGGTGGTAAGCTGCCAAAGCAAGGATTCGAACCGCTGTTGGCCCTATGGGGTCCAACTCTCCACGTGGCACTCAACCACGCGTTGTAGAGCTGGCTCTAGAACTTTCTTTTTCGGAGTTTCTGAGCATGTTTGTGAGTTGAATGGCTGTGACAGTATTGTCTTTAACAAGTTCATTAAAATTTCTCAACGTGCATGATTTTTCAAAGACATGCATGTTCATTTTACATTATAAGATAATTCCCAAAACTATAGGAATTAATCAAAGCCACCCAAAGCCATTGAAAGAATAACTTGTAACCATTTTGGTGTGTTTTCTTCTTACTTTTGTTCTTAGTGGGTTTGGTTTGGTTTTGATATTTTGGGTTTTTATATAGTTGTCTTTATTCTTTAGAAACATCGAAAAGATTTTACATGTATTTTTGTAGGTATACATTATAGATCCATGCACACCACATTGTAACTTATCTATACTACAGTATAGAACATTTTTTTTTTTGGAGAGGTTTTTCCTATAGGGCGCGTGCACTCGCCAGACAGACAGAGAGAGACAGAGAGATAGAAAGCGAGAAATCACCCTCCAGGGGGGATGGTCACGCCGCAATCCCTTCTCCTCCATTCTCCTCTCGGGATCTTGGGCACGCACGCACACGCGCCCAGCGTGAGTTTTAAGCCACCGGGTCCGGGACACGCACCGCAGTCGACTACGTGGGAGTCCAGCGACATAGCCATTACACTAACTGCTGGTCCCTCTTAGAACATTTTAAAATACATAGACTTCTTTGGGCTGGTTGTAGACGTTCCCTGAGTACAGGTGTGAGTATGGCTGTGCACCCCACTGTGACCGTGTACTCCCAGTAGCTGTTCGTTACCACTGCCCGACCGCCCAGGACAGACCCCGCGCTCCCACGTCCCCGCTGCTCGATACCACTGCCCCTACCGCCCACACTCTCCTCAGTGCCGCCCACGCCTGGGGCAGGGCCCAAGCCGCTCGCTATACGTGGGGAACCTCAGCCTCACGGGGGCAGGTCTGGCCGCTTCCGAGGAGCCCTGCTCAGGGTGGGCTCGGGCCTGTGGGGTGCTGTGACCCCTTCTGAGGTTTCCTTTGTCTTTTTGCATGGCAGGATACGGCTTCACTCCCCACGGACTTTCCCACTA